GAACAGGCATTCTATCTTGTATACCCTTGATTCCCCGACATGGACATGTTTACGGCTCTGAACCACATCGGGTTCCTCAAAGTATCGTAGAAGACCCCTGACAACATCTTCTCTCTCCAGTGGATGTGGTTCGATACATCCGTTCGTATGGAATATCGAACAGCCACATTGGAAGTGGAATATCTTCCTGCGTTGGGCCTTCTTCTCATTGCGATGCCTCTTCTTGATCGGTTCTGGTGAAGAAGGGCTGACTGAGTGTGTAGAACTCAACGTTTCGGATCGTCCACGCTTGGAGCCCGGCGTGTTCATGTTTTTTCAAAAATTCTTTGTAACTAGAATCGGCTCCGGGGTTGCATAATATAATACTTGAAATCCCGCCTTTTATTTTGTTTGGACGGGCATATTTACAATTTGAAAAAAAATCCCGTTGCGCTCCAATAAATTCCCGCCAATGTTTCAAATATTGTGGGGCCACATCATCGATTATGTTGCAAAAAGCCTCGTCATTGTGGTCCCTCAAATCGATGTGACCGGATCCAACATGTTTTTCCAATTCTAGATAGGCCTTCAATTATAATGCTCTTGGGCCTGTGTGGTCTTTGGGCTTCGTCGCTTATATTTTCTGCAACCCATTGATGTATGGCTGTTGAAACGATCCATACTGTATCTATAAATTGATAGACATACGGCAATAGTGGAGTAAATGAAATCTTGTCGTAATTTGATGACAACTTGTCATAATTTAGCCAGAAACATTTTGGATCGCCATTTCTTACCAGTGCCAGTGCTTCTTGAAGCTTGGGTAACCAGCTTAGGGTATGATAGAATATCAACCCCTATTTATAAATGAAGATTAGGGTTTACAAGAAAGACAATTACAAGGTGATCCCTGAGGGCACACAATGATTACAGACCCTAGTGTATCTTTCGGCTAATATAATATGCCAAAACTTTCGGCTAATATAATATGTTAACACTCCCCCTCAAGCTGGTGCGAAGATATCTCTCATGCCCAGCTTGCCTAATATGTCATGAAATGGTTTATTCCCAATCCCCTTGGTGAGAATGTCAGCAAGTTGTTCACCAGACTGGACAAAAGGAGTACAAATGGTACCACTAGTGAGTTTCTCCTTAATGAAGTGGCGATCAATCTCAACATGTTTTGTCCTGTCATGTTGAACTGGATTGTGAGCAATGTTGATGGCGGCCTTATTATCACAGTATAACCGCATGGAGTCCGTCTGAGATCATCTAGAAGAACACCATCAGTAGGGGTGAGCTTCACATTAAGCTAAATAGGGTTATCAGAAAGCTTAGTGTCAGCGGCACGATGAATAACCTCATTGGCATACTTGGCCTAAGAGAGAAAGTAGCCCTTGGGAGAAGAAGCTACCTCTATACCAAGAAAATACCACAAGGGGCCTAGATCTTTCATTTCAAAAGTGCAGAAAAGATGCTGCTTAATATCAGAGTTAGCAGAAAAGTCAGAGCCAGTGATGATCATATCATCCACATACAGTAATAAGGCAACAAATCCAGCAAAGGTGTGAAGAAGAAATAAAGCTGAGTCCTAGGCACAAGGATGAAACCCAAGCGCAGTAACAGCAGCCTGAAAGCGATCATACCAAGTACGAAGACACTGCTTTAGACCATACAGAGCACGCCGAAGGCGACAAACCCGTCCAGAAGAATGGTGAAAGCCAGAAGGAGGACACATATAAACCTCCTTGGTGAGATGGCCATTAAGAAAAGCATTCTTAACATCCATCTGATAAAGAAGCCAAGAACGAACAGCAGCGACAGAAATCAAAGTACGGACAGTAGTCATCTTGGCAACAGGAGCAAATGTCTCATCAGAGAAGAAGGGGACACACTGGTGGAATCTGTCATGGATACAATACTACCGAACCTGCAACAAAACTAGTGGTAATCACAAACCCGGAAGGTGGTCGTGGGATAACAGGCACAATGATCACTATAAAGACATACAAAATACAAAATTAAGAAACCATTTTTTTTTTTTTCTTTTTTTTTTTTTTGTTGTTTATATATATATATATATATATGTTGAGTTATTTATATATACATGTATTTATATATAAATATATATATCAGGCTATAGTTATATATATATCAAGATATATATATATATTTATATATACCTGGGTTTAAGATCAGAGGACGACGAGGGGAACGAGGGACGAAGACGACAGAGGACGATGAGGATGATGAAGACGAGCGACGAACTGCGGGAGGAGATCGACAGATCGACGAGCTGAGACGAAGACGAAGCAGATGAAGACGAGGGCTGAACTGCTGGAGGAGATCGACGAGCGGAGGAGCTGAGACGGAGACGAAGAAGAAGCGGAATGATGATGGTGGCAGAAGATCGATTCAGCAGATGATCCAACTAGGTATGCTTTGAACCCTAGCCCTAGAGGTGATGCTCTGATACCATGAAGCTTGGGTAACCAGCTTGGGGTATGATAGAATATCACCCCCTATTTATAAATGAAGATTAGGGTTTACAAGAAAGACAATTACAAGGTGATCCCTGAGGGCACACAATGATTACAGACCCTAGTGTATCTTTCGGCTAATATAATATGCCAATACTTTCGGCTAATATAATATGTTAACACTTCTTCTTTACTTCCGGCTGCAAGAGCTTCGTGATATACATTTTCTTTGCTGTCCTTGTTAGTGCAGCGACCCCTCTCACGGAATTCACCCCATTCCGTGTAGTCCCCGTGTTTGGAGATGTAGGGGGGGAATAAATAAAGACAACTGATAAATAAATAAATAAAAATAAAAACTGATATGCAATGAATTAAAAGGAATATTGGTATGTAATGAAATTAGACAACAAAACTTCCTAACTAATGGTTTTTAGCTAAAATGGTTGCAAACACAACAAACCATGCCCAAATTAAAGATAAAATATACACCATACTCTTGCATACATCCTCAGGTAAAGCCCCAAGACTAGAATTTACCTACATTTGCAAGACTAGTTGAATGGTAGCAAATGTGACCATTCAATTAGCAAAGGAGACATGGACCAAGCATATAGCATACAACAATTTTTACTTTTCTTTTACCCCCTAATTTGGCCAGGTTGTGGGATCTAAAATCAAGAGAATCTAACACTGCAAACTCCAAAATATATGTAGCACACGTAGGATATGTAGGGTTTTAACAAGTAGCAGTACTAGACATCAATTTTTACCATTGTTTAAGACAACTTCAGGAACTTGTTTACAAATGCATAAGTTACATAGAAAATAAATTCTCAAAACTCAGATTATAAGGTTCCATCGGGTTACAATTGGCAGCAAAAAGCTGTTAATTCCTTCTTCCTATGTCAAGACATCTCTAAGAACCTCAGTTTTCATTGTCTGCTAGATATTTCATTCTAGAGAAGCACAATGACAAATATACCAATAAAATCCACACCAAATCAAGAGAAAAAAACTAATTCATTCATTGAGAAAAAAAACTAATGAAATCTTGAAACACAACGAATACCAAAACACCAAGAACTAATGCTGTAGATGACATTAAAAAAAAATAAAAAATGAGAGCATATTACTCAAATACACACATGCAAGCCAGCTAACTCATGTTTACCATAAAACTTGTAATATGAAAATTAATAATCTAGAAAGAAATTATAACAGAAAATGAAACTTCATAACTTGTAGCTTCTATTATTGAAGCAGAGAGAGAGAGAGAGAGAGAGAGAGAGAGAGGGGTCATATTAGTAAATCCAAGATGCCAAACAAGACATACACGCTTGTAAAAATAAAGTTTCATTTTACTTGTAAAATAAATAAATAAATAGCTTCATTTGAACGTTCCATGAGTTTAGAAATGCTTAATTGTTTTCATATGTAATTTTTATAAACTAATTATAAGTGTGGATTGGCATATAAAAACTCGGTAATAAAGATTCCAAATATTGGCATTGAATGAAATCTCAATGCTAACCCATCTCATCAATTACAGCAACATTTCTAATCTTCTCCACCGTCCTTGTTCTTGAAAACAAATGTGCACCATAGGTAAAACTTTAAAAAAATGCAAGCCATCAATGATCATGGGTCAACAAATGCACCAAAAAGTTGCAAATGAGTTTTCCATGGATTTTATTAAGTACTACCCGCAACCTGTCCAACCACCTAGATGTAACCAATTGAGTATACATCTTACTTTGAGTTGAAGATGCACCCAAGGCCCACTTTAACCAACAAAAGAATGCAAGTAAGCCATTAATGTTTCATTGGGTAAAAAATGCACTGGGTAAAAAATGCACAAGTAACTTGTAATTGAGTTTGCAACTACTACTCGCTATGAAACAAAGTTGACTGTAACGGTGATACCATGCCATCAGTATCACCATCCAATAACTTCTTGCCATTTACCCTAAGTGGGGTTCACTTGCCATATGAAAGTTTACTGTTGGTTGGTGATACCAAGTCATACCATGAGGGCTAGTTTGGCATGTACTAAATAAGCTAAAAAGTCAAAAAGTCACTATCTTATTTAAGTCACATCATCTTATTTAAATCACATCACCTCTCTAACACATCACATCAAACCCAACCCAAACCCAACCCAAACCCACCAATAAGTCAAAAAGTGCATTTTTTTAGAACATCCCAAACCAACCCTAGAATTTTACTCGCTATACCAATTGTGTGTATATCCTACTTGGAGTTGAAGATGCACTCAATAAGAGAAAGATAATGTACATTTTGATTTGCAAACACACTTCAACCAACAAAACATGTATATCCAAGCTCTGTTCTCTGACTCATCCAAATTAAGGATCGCATACACACACACATACGTATCAAAACAACACAAAGTTTGATGTTCTTTTGCAGTGTTCTCTGATCGTTATTGACATCAAATTGAAGTTCTAAGTTAACAAAAATGAGTATGCGAACTAAATATATGTAGTTAAACAAGAAAGGCACAGAAACGCTCATGAATACCCTGTTTTGATCGAGGACATCGACAATGACAACGAGCTTCCCATATTCCTTCCCGTAGTTGACGAGAGCGACCCTTCCTATCTCCACGTATCTTTTGAACGGCTACAAGCAATCAAGCCAAACCAAAATCATATATACATATATATATATATATATATATATAGAGAGAGAGAGAGAACTTGTGTTGCATCTCACCATTTTCGGAGATCTGAGAGCTCAGCTCAGCACAGCTAGAGCGACTATGGAAGACGGAGGCTGGAGGGGTGATGCTGAATTAGGGTTTGAAGAGTGAGGAGAAGAGTATATTAGGGTTTCTCTGTTTTAGAGTTGTTATCAGATGGACTCGATTGCAGGGGAGGTCGTCTACGTGTCACCAGCAGATTATCTGTATCATCATTTTTTTAGTGTTTTATTTTTAAAATTTTAATTTTAATTTTAATTTCTTTTTGTTTTTTTTTTTTTAAAATTTTTAGTGATGTAGGTAATAGGTTTATATATGTACATAACTGTTTTGATGAAAAAATATAAATAAATAAAAATAAAACAGAAAAATAATAAAGTCAAGGAAAATTGAAATGAGGAATTCTAGAAGGAAAAAAAGAGACACAACTCTTCTCAAATTATCTTCATGGGGTGTTTGATAATTTCATGAAAAATTGTGAATACATTCTTCTATATATTTTCGTTAGAGCTTTAGAGCATTAAGAGTTTACATAGTAGTTAATGGCCTATAATTTGAAATTTTAGAAAAATAAGAACAAATTTAATAAAATTGTCAAGAATACCCTTTTAACTATAAATCCTTAAATTCTCTCTCTCTCCCTCTCTCCAAACAAAGGCCTCTAATTGCCCTTGTGAGTGTTGTACCACGACGACGACTTCATCTTTGTCATTATCAAGATTTGTTGGGTTGGTCTAGTCAAATATAAGTCTGACTTCATCGATAACGAACTTTCATTTGATCACGATTCAAACTGGTCAAAAAGCCTTCATTTGTTCACAAACCTCTATTTTCGTTGTCGAGCAAGCACAATTTCATTCTTCTGTTCTCGATTTCGCACATCACCGGTGCAGATATAGATTGTTGTCGTTTGTTGCTCACAACTATCGTTTTCATTGTTCATAAACATTATGTATTTATAAACTAAGAAATAGAGAGTTGAGAGAATGTCTTGTTGATGATTGACGAAGTGTGAGACAAATTGACGAAGTCAGAGAAATTTCTTGTCTCATAAACTTAAAAGTTTGTAAAATTTCACTAAACAAAATCACCAGCGTCAGTGAAATTTCACTAATCACGATAGTTACATTTCAATTGGTTTTCAATTTTTGTTCTTTATTTTGAAGTTATTTTATTTGAAAACATTAATTTCTTTGTCACAAGATCATTTAATTTCACTAACTCAACAAAATAAAATCTTACTAACTCAACATAGTGACATTTTACTTTGTTGGAGAGTCACTGAAAATGGTCGCAAGGGAATTTCATTATTAAATTAGTGAAATTTCATTTCTCCAAATAGTTGTCAAAAAATGGTTAACAGAGACCGACGGTCGTCATCGAACATTTAAATAAATTTTGGTAGTGTTGGACAACCTAATTCAACATTTAAAATAAATTTAATATATTGACTAGGAAGCTACATAAAAAATCACAATTGAACATTTAAAATAAATTTTGGTGATGTTGAATAACCTAATTCAACATTTAAAACTAAATATATTAAATTAAAATCACTTAAATTCATTTGATAATCACAAATAATATTACTTAAAAATTTATGTACTCTTCAAATGTAAACTAAAATAAATGAAAATTTTAAGTGGTAAAATTGTATATAATACTCTACAGGAGTCCCAAAAACAACTAAGTAAGAAAAATCAAGCTCATGAATTATCCAACACTTACTTAAATTCTAATAATTTCATACTTCGTCATTTTAAGGGATTTCACCAATTTCCTCTTTAGCGACATTTTACCGAAATGCCTCCCATAAAAATTCTTTTTCCATCAAATTTTGAAAAAAATAAAAGATAAATAAAGAAGGAGAATTGTTACAACCACCCTATTATTAGCTTATATATCTTCTAATTTTTGTTATATCACCTAAAATTTCGTTCAACCTCTTGTTTTCATTGACAGGTCGTTAACAACAAACCATGCTTGCCAACAAAAATAAACGAAACGTTATTCTTTCTTTTTTCATTTTTCCTTTTTTTATTCTCACCATTATCATCTTCATAATAGCATAGTCAAACAAATTACCAAACAGGTTTATACATCATCTTTTTGAATTTCTTTTCACTTCCAAATCCAAAGAGAGACTTAGTTGGATTGATCGCGTAATTTTACTAAAACTTGATGTTGCATGCGCGCGCACGCATGATACTCTATTAATGGCAACACATTGAGTTTTTCTCTTCTAAAGGTTATTTCAAACTTTTTCATGCTTGCTAGCAAGTTGTGAGGTCTAAACATGAATATTATTATAATTGCACATTTGTGTAGCTAATTTTCTTCTTTGTTATCTTTGTTTCAGGTCAGAAGGTTGAATTATGGATTCCAAGTTTTGAAGGCTTCTAATTAAGGAGAAATTTTTTAGTTTAGAGATCAATTTATATATGTAGAGAGAGGACAAGAATGGGCACCAAGATGAAGGGCCTTTTGAAAGGCCTACGATACATTACTCAAATATTCGGTTTGTTTTCTCTTTCCATTCATTTTTATATGATAGGAGTCAAAATATTTATAAAAAAAAAATCATCGTGAGATCCATGATTAAACTTTGTAGTTACAATATGTGTGAAGTCACCAATTGTTCACAAAAATTAAGTTGATAGGGAATGAGACAAACACTTCATGAAAGTAAGAGAACAAAGTATGAAAAGAGATGTAGAATAGAATGCACATTAACAAAGATAATGGGGGTGACAAGATTTGAATCCAAAGCTCTAACAATATGTTAGACAACAAATTGTCCCAAGAAATTTCAACTGTTATAAAATACGTTCAACAATGTATATCAAGCTAATAATATGTTCTCAATTAATTAATTAATTTTATTTTCCCTAGTTATGTCTAATTTTTCTTGTCCACCAACTCATTTTCAAAGCTTGGAATGATTTTCATTGACACAAATCAAATGGACCCTTACAAAGGCACGCATATATGTAACTCCTTTGCTACATTTTGCTTTCCATGCACATTCTCAATGTTCTTATACAATGAATTTGGCCTTGCAAATTAATGAATTTGTGTTTAGGGTGAATGTGCACCCTTTAATATCACCAAAAAATGATGGAAATTACCATCATTATTTTTTTAATCCTTGAACAAATTTTTTTATTTATTTTTATATTCAAGTAATTTTCTATTTATTAAAAAAATGTCATTTTCAACTCATATGCATCTTGGGTGCATGCTGTTGAGAATGAAACCCTTGTTGAGTAATGCTAAGGGTACATTTTATTAGAGTGAAAAATATGTTGAAAAATGAAAATAATAGAAAGTGAAGTAAAAGAAAGGAAAATTAAATGAAAATTTATTTTGTAGAATGTATTTGGTTAAGATGAAAAGTTTGACATAAAATTATAACAATTAACCATAAGAATAAATTTTTTTGCATTTTTTGTATGGAACTGAAAGCTAAATTTTAATGTTGATATAAATTGTACACTAAAATTAAGTTTCTTGCATTTTTCGTTGTACTCTTGTTAAGAAAATGCAAGAAAATTTTTAACTTTTTAAATTTCTTGCACTTTTAGCATTTTCATCCTAATCAAAATCAGCTAAGTGAATTGCAAATTTTTTTGTAGATGAGGAAAAAGAACAAGAGATACAGATTGGTTATCCAACAGATGTAAAGCATGTGGCTCATATAGGACAGGATGGACCATCTGTAGATTCACCAAGCTGGGTAATTCTGTTTTTCTCTCTTCTCTTCTCGTCTTTCTTTTATTTAGGTTGTGCCATGTCATGAATTTTTAAGAAGTTAATTAGGCAAAATCTAATTAACCTAAGTATGATCTTTTATTGAAAAACTTCAATTTTCCATTTTTTTTTTCCCACTTAATTCCATTAATAAGTCAATTGCCAACCAATTTCCTAACTTAGTCAAAATTTTCAATTTTGCATTGTAAAACCTAAATCAAGTTTCCCCTGAAACCCTTCTCAATTTATGTGTAGGAAAAATACAATTTTAAGGTCTTTGCAATTAAATTCTTAATTCTCCAAAATAGTTCTGAATTAATAAAAACACATAAAATTCATCTATTGGGCCTAAGAGCCCATCTCTCAAATTGGATCGGGAATCGGTGCAGTTAAACTAATAAGGTTAATCGCGTATAAAAATTTATCGATCAGCATTCTAATTGAAGCGAAAAAACTTCTTAGGGACCTTTATTATAATTATTTAAGACTACTATGCCTCAATTATAGTAATTAAAAGTTTAAATTGGTTCGATCTTTACAAGCTGTGTTTTGAATTTTGAATTTGTAAAGAAATTTGTTGGGGTGGGGGAAGAAAGAAAATAGAACAAAAACAACCTTAACATTTTGTTTAGACAATGACTTTGATCACACAATACAATAGGAAAATATCACCATCTTCTCATATTATAGTTTGTGTAGATGAAGGGTTTCGAATCAGGTGAAGAATTACAATCAGCACCATCAAGTGTCAAGGGGCAATCTAAGGAGAATTCAAAAATCAATTGTGTTTCTCAAGGTTTGTTACCTTCATATCCCAACTTTGCTTACAAATTGTCACATATAGAAGGGATACAAGCCTAATGTGCTAGTTGGATTCATTTTGTTATTGCTTTTGTTGTGTGTGTTTATTTAGAAAAAAATATAAATAAATAATAAAAAAACACTTGCTTTGGATCCAATGTTGTTAATAAGTTGAAGAGAGGATTGAAGGTTTTTCTAAAATTCAAAGAAGTTGCACAAAAGATATATTGCCTTACTACATGAACCATATATACCCTATATTTAAATTAGGCCACAACATGTATAGTGAGTTTTAGGTGCTAGTAACTTTACGCATTATCTGAAAACCGTCTTCTAAAATTTAATAATATTAGAGATATTATCAAATCATATCATATGATAGTGAATCCTATATATACTTATTGAATTAGTGAGCCTCATATCTGGGGGCCATTGATTGCAAGATCACTTTATATAATTCAATGATATAACATGTGAACATAATAGATTGTTCAATAAGTGAGCTCCAGATGTAAGGATCTACTAATTACAAAAACGTATGATACGGCTCATTGTTATATATATTTTATTTTTTTTCAAACCTTTGAAGTTCATGTTTCGTATCAATATCACTTGTAGTTGTTAAGAAATGGTTTGGGTCATTGTTTTGGCAGACAAATCTTCAATAGCAGGGTCCTCAAGTCAACAGCCATCCACCAAACCAAGACAATCAAAGAGAAACTCATCGGGTAGTTCTAGAGGGACCCGACAACCAAATGGTTCGGGTCTTGGGTCGGATGCACCATTGCAAAGCCTACCAGATATCCCCAAGAAATCAATAAGAAAGAAATCAAAGGAATTAGTGGGTGGAGAGGGGTCAACGAGATCATCATCAAGATCAAAAGTCATTCCTCCTCCTACTCCATATACATCTCCATTCTCGGATCCTGGACCAGATACCAAGTCCAAACCCGGATCCAACAATAGTGAGCTTACTTACACATCAAGTATGAGGCCTCTTGTAAAAGGAGACAAGGAATGTAATGGGATTTCTTGAAGAGTTATTGTAGCTATATATAGATTTGGTTAGTTGGGAACAGAGCCATTCCTTTTATTTTTTTTGTTGGAATCTTATATACATATATGCCATATCTTTAATTATATGGAACTAAAATTCATTTTTCAAAGCTCTTTGATAAATGGCCTTGTTAGGTATCATTTTCAAAATATTTTGGGCAAATTACAAAAAAATTCTGAGATTTAGCGTGTTTTGCAATTTAAATCCCATGATTTCAATTTCATCAATTTGAATCCAAACTTTTACTTTTGTCACAATCTCAACCATCTATCCATCTCTATTAGCTTGGTTGACGGAAGAAAATTTGTAGTACACATCTAGCACTTTTACATTGGCTCATTTACTCAATATTAATAATGAAAAATTTGAACTTTAACACAACATATCAATTCCACCATTTATTTTTCATCCATTAAATCAAAGCCATTCATCATAAACTTACCACACACTTGAGCACATTGTATCAAAACCTCTCTATATCCTTTCTCATCAACACTTTTTACTTTTTTCTCTCTCTCTCTCTCTCTCTCTCTCTCTCTCTACAAATGCACGCAGTGCCTCACTTTGCCAGCGCTATCTCCGGTTGACGTTTGGAGGATGCACACGTCCTCTTTCTCCTCCTTCTTCGTCTCACCTACTGTCGCTGCTCTTCTCTCCTCTTACTACTTTACATGTATTACAGAATATATTATATATATATATATATATAAAATATAATATAAAGATCTAGGGTGATGGTTTTAGGAGTGAAAGAAGAAGAGCAGAAGAAAGAGATGGAGAGAAGAGGCGAGGGCGGCGGCGGGAGAAGAGAAGAAAGAGGAGGAAGGCTACATTGTTGGGATATGGGCTACACCCTGACGAATCCCTTTTTTCTACAAAATAAAAACCGAACTCCCTTTAGAATTTGATGGGAAGGGGTAATGGTAGCATGGTTGTGACGACGGATAGAAAAGAAAAATGAAGAAGTGAATCGGCAGCCGCAGTCGAAAAAGAATTTTGTGAACCTCTAGCCAGTGCTGCTGCTATTTTGTTCTTTCCTCATTTCGTTTATGGAGATTTGGAGTTGGAGTGAGTGAGAAGCAAAATAAGAAGTGATTGTGGAGGCGACGTAATCGTTCGTTAATCTCGGTCAACATCGCTGTCACTCCATTCTTGTATTTCTTTTCTTTTGTCATCAATTGAGATTTTTGACGATCTAAGGCAAGGAGGAGTGATCTCCAATCATCCCTTCTGACTTTACATGCTGCTCCAAAACTCTCACAAACTGGCGAACCCTTTCTCCGGTGGCTTCTCGCCCTTGCTCTCTTACTCCGACGTGACTTGTACCCCTTCCAATCGGCCCAACCATTCCAATGTTGTTCTCTCTCAATATACTGCATAGAGAAATGTTAGGGATCATGAAAAGTCTCTCATGAAAATGATCATGAAAGATTTGTGATCCTTAGATTACCTTGATTAGTGTGTGGTGCTTTATTCTAAGTGTGTAATCTAAAGGTCACAAATCTTTCATGATCATTTTCATGAAAGATTTTTCATGATACGTAACATTGCTGTACTGCATATATACATACAGTCAATAGGTAGTTGATTGACCAAAATGCCCCAAGTTCGTTAGTTATAGTTAACAGAGATGGACGGACGGTTGAAATTGTGATAAAAGTAAAAGTTCAGGGTTCAAATTGATGCAATTGAAACCCTAGGTTTTTTTTTTTTGTAATTTGTCCAAATATTTTCAAGAAATAAAAATAATGAAAAATTTGAAATCAATTATTTTTTTCTGAAAAAATAGTTTTTTTAAAAAAAAAAATTGAAAACAACTGAACAATGTTTTTTAAAAGGGGGGGTATTTTTGAAGAATTTTTATTGAAATAGTTGTTAGAAATAGTTGTCAAACAATTTTTGTTTTAATTAATTTGCTTTAAACGAACAAAAAGAATTCAAAAAATACACCAAATGTGTTTTGGCGAAAAAATTATACATGCTTTTATTTTGGCATAACTGTGAAAATTATACCATGTTGGATTTGGTTAAGTGAGATTATGAGTATGGTCGATAGAAATGGCAAATTTAACGTAAATCAGTGAATCTGTCCAATTATATCTATTTAAAGTTTGTTTAAACTTTAAACTCGTACAAATTTATAAATGAGTGTAAATAGTTATACTTTGTAAACTCAACTAAAATTAAATTTAAATGAGTTGAACATAAGTAACCGTTTAAATGCCTCCACTATTATTACCATTACCTCCACCACTCTTGCTTCCACCATTACTACTGCCACCACTAACACAAACCAAAAAAGTTTGATCCTAAAAGCCATTCTCAATTACTTTTGGGTATAAAATATTGTTGGAACAATCTTCTGTGTAAATAAAAAAAAAATTTGAAATAAATTCAAACAAAATAAAAAATAACATACCGGATTTATTTATCGAACCGAATTAAAATTAAGACCAAGTCGAGTGTGTGACACTCTGTCCTTAAGACAGATTCGCCCCGCTACGGTACTTACGGTTGAGTGGCGTCTATCTCCCAATATATAATGATATTCACAAATTGTAGTAGCACTCCAAACAATTTGTTCGGCGAACCAAACCTGTGATCTATACTCTCTTTAATTTATTCTGAAACTAAATATGAAGAATAAATGCACTAGAGAAAAATTGGATAGCAATTTAAACAATCTGCAGACTGATTTTTGGAACCCAAGACTGTTGGAACATGGCTGTTTTTATAGGCAAAAAATCTGACTTGAATAGGTATTAATTTGAAGTGAACAGGTGTGATATGAATTTGAACAGATGCTATTTGAAATTAAACAGATCTGCCAATTGAATCAACAGATGCAGCAGTTAATAACCTGTTCCGAAATTGCCTGAACAGTTTCAAATTCAAATCAGTCCGGGTGCAAGTTTGGACCATATCAAACTGTTGTGGAATTCAAATCTATTGAACTTTATTATATAAACTATTTTGAATATATATATATATATATATATTTGTATATATATATAATAAACAAATTGAATAGTTTAATAAATAAATGAAGAGGTACAAATTTTAGGAAACCACTTAGGAACCCAAAATTTGAATTTAGAATTAAATTAAATTTCCACAATTGCAAACTTTAGGAAATCACTTAGGAATCCAAAATTTGAATTTAGAATTAAATTAAATTCTCACAATAATTTTTATTGAAAAAATTCAAATGAATTTTATCTGAAAAATTAAGGGTTGTTTGGGATGACCTAAATAAGTCCATTTTTTTTTATCTTTTTACGAAAAGATGTGCAGAAAAGTAGAGAGGTGATGTGATGAAAAAAAAGATAAAAAGATAAAAAGACGGATTATTTTGTGTATGCCAAACTTGGCCTTAATGTTAGACTCGAAAACGACGTCAACTTTCCATTCACTCATAAATGGTTTTGACGTTCCGTCTTCACCGTGTGACTTGCCACGCGGCAAGGAACACGTCACCTCTTCGGAGCCACCCCAAAAGACGTTTGGGGTCCACTTAATTTTGGGCTCAAAGATATGCCTATTTTAAACCATTTTTCCAACAATCTCCCACATGAATGGAATTTGACGGAGAGAAAATGCAACAACATGATCTAAATACAGAGAGTACAGAAATTAGAAATATTCTGCAAAGGATAAGTAGCTTTTGGCTTTGAACCTTCCCTTGTGAGACACTATCGGATTTACTAGCTAACTAGTGAACATGATGTCTTGAACTGTACAGTCGTTTGTGTAAATCGAGACAATAGAACTCACACAGTATATCTCCAGACACAGTTTAGTTCTCACTATTGTGTTCATTTTAGCCCTGAACAACCTGGTCTTCCATGAGTGCTCTAAAGACTTGTAGCCCTTCACAAATCTTATAAAACCGGCCTAGTTCACACTCACATAGGTGATTCTCATGAAGAGTATCCTGCTATACTCCACTAGGTTTACCTAGATATAAGAATCATTAAAATTTTACTTAACCTCAAACGCTGCAGTCATCACTATTTCATCATAGAAATAGGTAGGAGTTAGACTCCCCAGTGATCCTTCTGAGTTAATCACAACTCGGTTGTCCCTTTGAACCTAGATCTTGGGATCTCCAGTCAACTAGGTTGGGTTGCTGTTGTGGTAACTCTTATTTAATAGGCGTTAGTCCCATTTCCCTCGATGAATTCTCAACTAACTCTCTTGTTAACCCTTTGGTTAGTAGATCCGCTATGTTGTCTTTAGACTTAACATATTCTATGGAAATAATTCCATTAGAGAGTAGTTGTCTTACGGTGTTATGTCGACGATGAATGTGTCGTGACTTACCGTTATACAGATGACTCTGTGCTCTACCTATTGCTGATTGACTATCGCAATGTATGCATATAGCAGGCACCGGTTTTGGCCATATTGGAATATCTTCAAGGAAGTGACGAAGCCATTTTGCCTCTTCCCCAGCTTTGTCTAAAGCTATGAATTCAGATTCCATAGTAGACCTAGCAATACAAGTCTGTTTGGAAGATTTCCAAGATACAGCCGCACTACCAAGAGTAAAGACATACCCACTGGTGGACTTCGGGTCTTTAGTATCCGATATCCAATTTGCATCGTAGTATCCTTCAAGTACTGCTGGATATCTAGTATAATTAAACCCAATGTTACGAGTAAATCGGAGATATCTTAGAACCCTTATCATTGCTTTCCAGTGTTCTACTCCTGAATTACTCGTATATCTACTTAATTTACTTACTGCATAAGCTATATCCGGGCGAGTACAATTCGTCAAGTACATTAAGCTTCCAATAATTTGGGCATACTCTAATTGAGAAATACTTTATTGTATATTCTTAGAAAGATACAAATTAACATCTACAGGAGTTCTAGCAAGATGATCATCATCTTTGCTGAATTTGTCAAGTATTTTCTCAATGTAATAAGATTGTGACAAAGCATAACCTTCTGATGTTTTTTGTCAAGTATTTTCTCAATGTAATGAGATTGTGACAAAGCATATCCTTCTGATGTTTTGGTAATTTTTATACGAAGAATTACATCAGCAATGCCCTTGTCTTTCATGTC